TTTGTAGGTTTTATAATTTAAGAATGTTACAGTTGAACTTGGAAAGGTAGTATGTGACGGATATTTATATAATATAAAAAATATGAGAGTTTTGCATTAACGTTTTCCCATTAATCCTCAATTTACCGATTTTAATTTAACTTACTGTTAACCCTCAATTTACCGATTTTAATTTAACTTTCCGTTAACCTTCGGTTTACCGATTATAATTTAACTTACCATTAACCTTCAATTTCCGATTTTAATTTAACTTACCATTAACAATTTACCAATTTTGATTTAACTTATCTTAACCCTAAATTTACCGATTTTGATTTAACTTATCTTAACCCTAAATTTACCGATTTTAATTTAACTTACTTTTAATTATCAAATTACCAATATACTTTCATACCGTTCAGTATGAGTGGAGTCTACATATTGCATTATATTGAGCAGTTTTTTTGGGGGGTTTGTCTATTAAAACTCTAAGTGCAAAGAACTAACCGAACAAGATTGGATGAAATCATTCATTTTCTACGTAAAATACACAAAAGACTCCTTCAGTAATTGGCGGAATTGAATGAAATGTTGATGGTATTTTTTTTTAAATATTTTTTGTTATTAGGTACACTTACACTGCAACCAACAAAACTGTGGCCTCATGCGCAACCTAGTGTATAAATAATTTAGAAAAAAAAATTGAAAAACTTGATGATTCGAGGTTTAACACGTGGAAAGAAAACAATATAAGCTATTTTCAATATACAAGTCAAACAATATCAATTCTGAAGAAAATATTTTTCGACTTTTGTTTCTATACGTATATATGAATCATAAACTTTTGTAGAAACTAAGCACAAGTTAAAAATAAAATTTCAACTACCAAGAGTGTATGCAACAAACCTATGTTTTAAACAGATCAAAAATTCAAGTAATAAAACCGTTTTGTAAATGTAAAATGGTGTAGGGATGGCAGAGCCAAAAAGAATGCTAATCAGAATATCGGAATGATACAGCTATACACAGATCATCACTAGATGACTTTCGACATTAAAATTGAATGTTGCACTGTAAAATGTACGAGCACAAAATGAATACGAGGTCGACCTATTCGACCGACATCGTAGCGAGAATCTGTAATAAGTCTGCATACCAACAGTCAGGAATATATAACTTCCAACTTCAGTAATACTAAAGACAATTATGCATTTTAGCGATGGTTTTATGCCTTTTTTTGGGCTTGTTGGGTAGGGAGCAAATGAAAGTGAGTGGTTATTGATTTTTTAGCAAGCATATTTCTATTATGCCTATTGAGTACCTTGGCCATCCCTACATACAGAGTTTACCGATTCAATGATGATGTCAAATTTGTTCATGCTCAAAGTTACGTTCGTGAAATTTTATGTAGATGACTTTCAAAAACTGTTTATAATATATAGTTGTGAAATGATCTCTACAATATTAAACGTTATGTTATTTTAAACTATCCAAGCTGTATTCATGATGAAAAATAATTTTTAAAACATTTTTTTCTAGATAGATAAATGGTGATATTTGTTGTGAAATCCGGTTCGTTAAGGATACCCCAAAAAGAGATTATATTTTGAATCTATGACGTATATGAGTCATGAATACTGTTGATGTTACCAGTCACATGAGTTTTATATGTATGATTTCGTCATTATACTTACTCGTGTAATAGAGTTTAATGTTTTAACCTTCATTTTAACTGCAATAGTACAAAGAAACAGTTAAAAGCACGGTAAGGGACAAGACTAATGTCGCTGACGTTTCGGCCAATTGACCTCCATTGGATTCCAATAAAGGTCAATTGACCGAAATATTTCTTTGCATTTTCATATTTTTGTCATTCTCTAGCTACACGTATTTGCTATCCGTGTTACATTTTGCTTCTCTTTATTTGTATTTTTTAGCTAGTTTGTTTAAGATGTGTTTTGTTCAAAAGAGCGTTGTAGAATGACTATTAAACACACTCAAGGGAGCGTATTCACACAATCATCTTTAAAGCGTTGTACTGTATTACGCTGACTGTTTACATCGGTATAGTATCTAACATAGATTTATTGGTGTTGATGTTCTTGTATTAAACAAACGTCAACTAAGTAAAACATCAGGTTAGTTCTGATCCTCAGATACACATCCTCGAACGTAATCTTTAATGAAGTATTTCTGTGTCCTTCTTACTATAACTAACTGAATAAAAGGAAGCAAAAATCCAGCTCTAAGAAATAGAACACATTTCAGAAAGATAGGAGACAATACGTTCCCTTATGTCAAGACGATCCCTTAGATACAGGGTTAATTTGATGGTGTTATTATCCCAAATTATGGAGTATAGCCTTTCACGGATATTTAACATAAATATATCTTTCTTTATTATTTTAATTATCTAAAAGACGCGGCTAAACACAAGAACCAGTTTTTTAAAGGAGTAGACCACATAGGATGACTACAATAGAATGACAATAATCTTATCTATTTTTAGACGTTTGTGAATTCTACAGACCAGAATTGACCCACTTAGTTTTGGTTTTCCTGCATTAATTAAAGTTCAATTAGATAATGAGTCGCAGATTCGAATCCTCGTCACACTAAACATGCTCACCCTTTCAGCCGTGGAGACGTTATAATGCGACGGTCCGTCCCACAATTCGTTGATAAAAAAGTAACCCAAGAGTTGGCGGTGGATGGTGATAACTAGCTGCCTTCCCTCTAGTCTTACGCTGCTAAATTAGGGACGGCTAGCACAGATAGCTCTCATGTAGCTTTGCGCGAAATTAATAATAAACCAAACCAATCCATTAGATAAAAACTATGGTTCAAATCATTGGCTTTATCAAATTCCCAAAAATGAATTGCCCCAACGACTCAGCGATAAGCTTGAGAGCTTATAACATTAAAATTCGGGGCGCGATTCTCTATGGTAGACACAACGCAAATATTTGCTTTTAATGAGTTACAGTTTTTAAGATATGATTGTTTGTTTGTTTGTAATTAAGCACAAAGCTACACAAGGGCTATCTGTGCTCTGCCCACCACGGGTATCGAAACCCGGATTCTAGCGTTGTAAGTCTGCAGACATACCGCTGTACCACTGGGGGGCATTTAAGATATGAAGTTTTACTTCTTTCGTTGCGCATCTTGTACTCTTTCCCTGACCTATTTTATTTGAACACCCTTTTACTTACATTACTGCGTACCTAATTTGTATTCACAGGATACATCATGACATAAGGCGACAGATTGATAAACAGAGGTGGTTTGTCTAAAGAAGATTACACCTTGCTTGGAAAATTGAGTTTCTGTAGCGAAAGAGCTGACTATTTTGTTTATTTTTGGAATTTTCGTGCGAGGCTACAGAGGAGCTACGCGGGCAGAGCAGTTTCTAATTTTGAGCGTTCAGACAAGAGAAAGACAGCTAGACAACAATATCCACCGCCACATCTTGGGCTACTCTTGTCTGATCAAATCCTTTCATTCATTACGAAATATCATAATATGATATATCACTAAGCAACTGATTGCCTGAACAGTTACTTCAGATACATGTCAGGATCTTACCAAACTGGTGAATCCTCACGTAAGCCTTATCTGATGGAGGACCGAAACCCTCGCTGTTCCTAAAGAGCCACTTGAGACATGTTCGAATCTTACCAAACTGGGGAGTCCACAAGTAAACCTC